CCCCGGCCCCCCAACCCCCCGGGTCCTCATCCTGCCCAGTTAGGCAGGAACAGTCCCAGTCCTGCTGGAAATGCTGGTCCCAGCTGTTTCAGCGCAGGGTCGCCCCCTCCTGGCCACCCGAGGAATGTCAGTCCTGGGTGTTCTGGGGCTGGGAGAGAACCAGCAGCCAAAGCTCCTGTGTCTGGTCTGGGGGCTCCAGTGCTTAGTGTTGGGACAGGTGGGGGCCAAGTGATAAAGGGGGGCTAGGCCACCTATCAGTCTTGGTGGGCTCCCTAAACACCTGTGCACCCACAGGGCACCGGCAGGGTCCAGACTGACCTTTGCCAGACACTTGGACCTGCACAAGCCTACGTGTGGGACTGTGACCTTGATCCATGTAACTGGGACCCCTGTGGTGTGCCAGGGTCTCCCACATGTCCCCCAGATGCCCCAAGAAACAATACCAACATGGTCTTAACTCCCAGGCCATTTCACCAGTGCAGCCTCTGCAGACATGGATCCTCTGCAGACATGGATCAAAGACCTGCCAACTCCCCACTCCCCCCATCCCCCAGCTCCAGGCAGGAGGTTGTGACCTTAGCCCCTGCAGAATGGAGCTGTGTAGTGAGTCAGGGTCCCCCTTCCCGCTCCCAGGTGCCTCAGGGGACAGTGACAACACGATTTTACCTTCCAGGCCATTCTGCCTGCAGCAACCTCAACCTCTGTAGACACTGGCCCTGGCCCAGCCCCCAGACCGGCCCAAAACCCCACTTCCCCAGATTTAAGCAGGGCCTGTCTGTGGCCAGGTCTGGGGGTGTTGGGGAAGTCTGGAGGGCCAGGGTGGGGGCAGAGGCGCGGGACAGCTGGCCTGTGTCCCCACACTGGGCCCGGGGCCCAGCCGGAGGGGCGGGGGCCTGGCCACTCAGGACTTGGCTAGGACTGGATTTTTGGCCGGGCTGCAGGGCCCTCCCTCCTGCTTCCTCTCCCGAGGGCTGTCCTGGCAGAGGCCCCCCTCACACTTTCTGGCGGGAACGGGGCCAGCAGTGAGAGAACAGCCACAGAGGGAAAGCGGGAGAGAGATGGGGAAAACTGTGTGTGTGTGTGTGTGTGTGTGTGTGTGTATGCGCACGCGTGAGCGACTATGTGTTTTAAGGAAAAAAGCCCACAGTCCAGTCCACTCAGACCCAGCCTGGGAGGATTGTGAGCCGGCCTTTCGTAATTGCCCCCCTCCCTGCGGCCCCCTCCCCCAGGCCTCCCCCTGCTCAGGCCCTCCTGCCCGCCCTCTCTCCCTCCCTTCTTCCCTCGCAGCCGAGGAGGCAGCAATTACGCTTTGGGGATAAAACGAGGCGCGGAGAGCAGGCTGGGCATTTCTCCCTGAGATGGCGGGTCCGACAGCTACAGCCCTGTGGCCTGGAGTCCTCCTGCTCCTGCTGTCCATCATCCACCCCTCGCAGCCTGGAGGTAGGCCTCACCCTGTTCCCGGAGCCGCCCGCAGCCCTCCATCCTCCCAGCCAGGTGTCTGGGCTAATAGATGAGAGGGTGCCCTTCACCCCCAGCATCCTCCAGGGTTCCCCGCAGGAGCCCGGCAGTCACTGGATCCTTGGAGCTGCCCTTCCCAGGACCCAGCCCATGCTGCGGGGAACCTGTCACATAGATACCCCACGATTTGGGAGGGTCCCCAGAGTGTCCGGGCTGCTGCCCTGGGTGGAGGGAGGGCCCCCTGCTCCGTCCCTCGTGCTCTCCCAGTGGGGTGTTGGACGCATGCTGGGGAAGGACCGTTCCCAGTGGGTCTGAGGCACCTGCAGTTTGCACACCTGCGGACCCAGCCCAGTGGCACACATGCCCTGCGGGTAGGGGACCTGAACTAGAGAGCAGCCAAAGTGACCGGTGTGGCTTCAGCAGGTTCCTTGTCCCCTGGGAAGGCAGGGACCCCTCTGAGGAAGGTCAGGGTTAGTTGATTATGGAGTTGTGGTTGGAAAACTGCTCCTGTGGTCTGTCCCTGGTGAGAAGGACTGGGACTTCTGAGTGTGTGTGCTTGTGTGAAGTATGTGTGTGCGTGTGCATGTGCGTACACATGCATACATGAATGAGTGTGTTGCATGCTCTTGCACAGGTGGGCATGGGTGTGTATGCCAAATATCTCATCAAATAGTGGAGAAGGTTTCCGGGATAAATGTCTGTTTGCAAGTTCATCCTTGGACAGGTGTGTGTGTGTGTGTGTGTGTGTGTGTGTGTGTGTGTGTGTGTTTGGGGGGAGGAAGGTTGTAGGGTATGTGAAAGTACCTGTTGGCATATGCAAAGGTCTGCCACCTGACAGGCTTATACACATGGGAGATCTGGTATCTAGGTGTGCATGTGAGAGTGTGTGTGTGTGCATGTGTGTACGCATGTGCGTGTGTGTGTGTGTGTGTGTGTGTGTGTGTGCGCATGTGTGTGTGTGTGTGTGTGTGTGTGTGTGTGTGTGTGTGACACAAGGAGGACAGGGAAGCTGAGTAAAGTGTTCATCTCCTGGCAGAGGGAGTGTGGCCATGGCAGAGGCTGGAGTAGACCTCAGGGCAGTCCTGGACCATCTAGGGTGTGTCCTGCACAGGTCCCAAGGGTACCCCTGTGGGGCTGCTACACACCCTGGGAATGACCCGCCTTGGTGCTCCTGGCTCTGGGAAAAGGGAAGTGAAGGTTCACAAGGCATTTGGTAGGGTGTGCTGGGTGGGGTAAGGTTCCTGTGCGAGTCCTCCTTGCCATGAGAACCAGACCTTTAGTGGGGACCAGCACGGGAGGTGCACAGGGTGGAGCAGGGCCAGGCAGGAGGGCTGGAGTGGGGGACCGGGGAGGAGCGGCAGCTGTTTCCGTGAGATTGACTTTCTGGACCAGCACTGCTGGGAATAGGCGCTTCCTGCACAGAGGTCACCGGCTCCCGGACCTGAACGGGGCTATGGGACGTGCGCACCATCAGGTGGGGGGAGTGAGACAGCCCAGAGGACCTGCCACCCAGCTGCCTGAGATCAGCAGCTCTGGACCTGTCTGGGCCTCCCCTCTCCAAGGTGTGGCCCCTGAACACCTGCCTGCCTTCCCAGAGCTCCCGCCTAGAGTGAGGCAGTTAATCCCCACAGGATCACCTTAACCCCGAGGGTTACCAATTACTGTCTTCACTTTACGATTGGGGAACTTGAGGTTCAGACAGGCTGAGGCAGTCCCAGGGGCTTTAGTACCAGCCAGCTCTCTGCCCCGGGCCAAAGGATGAGGGGGCGGGGGCCGGGGGCCAGGCAACACTTGGGGAAGATCGGGCCTGGGACTGAGCCCTCTAGGGTGGGCACACCCTCGGGCAGCAGGCACCTTCTCCTCGTCCCAGCCTTGTTCTTTCCTTGCACACATACATCACAGCCCTGTCCCAGGTGGTGGAGGGCTGGGTCCAAATAAGGGCTGTGTGAATTGATGAGGTATTCAGGGGCTTGTGCCAGAGCCTACCAAAAGCTAGAGAGGTCAAGCAATAGGGGCTCTGGACACACACACACACACACACACACACACGCACACGCACACATGCACACACACAGCCATCGCACTCTGGCTACGCTGGGGGAGCCCAGCTTCCCCCCACCCCAAGACAGTGTCACCCCACGAGTTCCCCAGATCCAAAGAACCACGTTGTCAGTGGAGGCAAGAAAGAGAGGCTCCCCAGGATGGCTGTGTAATGGGAAGGATTGTCTAGACCCAGTTAGGATGGGTCAAAAGCAACTTTGAGGTCCAGCTGTCCTAGACCCCCAATACTATTTAAAGCGAGAGGGGAGTGGGGAGAAAAGAAAAAGAAATCAGGCATCTCCCCATCCCCCAGAAATATTATCACTTTTTTTCTGATTCCAGGACTGGGGACAATCTGGAAGAGGATTTTCCTTTTTTTCGGGGGGTGGGGGGCGCGGGAGGGGTTTTCAACCCTGGCCGCACATTGGAGTTACCCGGGGAACTAGGAGCAATTCTGATGTGGAGGTCCCACCCAAGAATTCCTGCTTTGTTTGGTCTGTGGAGGGACCTTGACATGGAGGCTTTGTCAAGGGTGACTTTAGTGAGGCTCCAGGGCCCAGGAGCTCTGGCTCAGGGGTTAATCCTGCTCTCTGTGTCCACTAAGGCCGAGGCAGGAGGGCAGACGTGCCCAGCGAGGGATCGAGTCACCCACTGGAGGACAGATGGTTTTTGAAAAGCCCTTGGCAGCCCTTCTCCGTGCCAACAACAAACAGCTTCGTGTGGTCTTATCTGCTCCCCAGGTCGGCCCTCTGGACTCGGGCTTGGCAAAGCCCCTATGAGGACCACGGGCTCACTGCTTGCTCCCTAACAACCTTCTCCCAGATCTTGGAACTTGGAGCCCAGGGCCCAGACAGAAGGCCCCGCGTGCGGCTGGGTTCAGCTGTAGGTCCCAGGCCAGGCACTCAATTTCACTGGCTCTTGGTCTCCCTGGCTGTAAAATGGGGAGAAACCTCCCTGCCCCACTATCTCCTAGGGCTGGTGGGCGGCTCCGGCAATGAAACAACTGCCAAGAATGTATCAAGGAAGAGAGAGGGCTGTGGAAATGTGAATTTTTAAAACGATGTATCTTCTTATTCAGAATCTGCCAACTTGAGCTGCTCAGCCCTTGTAATTCGTGCACAGTTATAAGCTTTAACTTCCCTCCTGCTCTTCATGCCATGGTTTGTCTAGTGGGGAGCAGAGTGCAATGGTGCAGAAAGCAGATGGGACGAAGGTGGGGGGTGCCTGGAGGAGACCCAGGAAACCGAGGAAGGCTTCACAGCAGAAGTGACATTTGAGTTAGACCTTTAAAGAAAGGTCAGTGTGTGGGGAGCTATCCTGGGATGACAGGTGAGCCTCGGTCTATAGGGCTGTGGGAGGCAGAATTAGAGAGATAGCTGGGCAGAGTCTATCTTGATAGGAGGAAGATCTCTCTGCAGGTAGAGCTGACAGCATCAGAGGTGGTGATGTTCCTGTCACTGGAGGCGTGCAAGCAGGAGCACCAGGGGATGCTTGCAGAAGGAACTTCAGCCCAGGCCCGAAGACCGTGATGATCCCTGACAGTCTAGGATCATGATTCTAAGATGCAAGAGACGAGTTCACCCTGGACTGGCTGGTGAAACAAGCCAAACCCACATAAAATAAGACAAGCGTGCTGCTGGCCAGCTCAGCAATGAGAGTCAAAGGCTGAGAGAAGGCAGGAGGGAGACTCTGAGCTCAGTCTTGGTGGAAGGGTAGGACTTGGGGAGGGGAGACGGCATTTCTGGCAGGAAGGGTGACTGCCTTTTTGAAGGCCCTCCTGTCTTATAGTCTCACCTCTCCTGCACTTGAAGAGAGAAGGTAGGGCAGGGCACCCTTTACACTCACTAAGTCTTCTCCATTTCCTCAGGGCAAAGTGGGGATCAGAATCCACAGCTCCCCAGGCTGTGATGGTTCAGGCACGGAGTTTGGCACGTGCTGTTGGGATTTGAATCATGGGGGTGGGGAGTGGGAAGAGGAGATGGGGAGGCGCTGGGGAGAGAGGAAGCAGAGGAGGAGCTGGCAGGCCCGGGAGGGGCTTGGTCACAAGCGGGTGTGGGAGAGCAGAACCCCAAGAGAGGAAGTAGGGGGGTCAGCCAGGCCCAAGGTGGGAGACCCCCAGGTTGGTTGGGGATAGAACAGGATGAATCCAGAGCCACAGGCAGCATCCTTGCCTCCCCTCCACCTAATTCACACATCAGTTATTGGACACATCCTGTTTACCCGACCCCAAGCCGTGTGCTGCGCAGCGAAGTGGAGACGAGGGGTCACCATCTTTTGTTTGAGCCGTTACCGTGTGCCAGGTCCAGGCAGGACGGCGCTCTTACTGAACCCGCTGACAAGTTGCAACCACTTTGTGAGGCAGCAGTTATCAGCCCCACCTGGCTGAAAAGGAAGCTGAGGCTCAGAGGGGTTAAGTGACTTGCCCAAGGTCACACAGATGTGGCATAGCCAGGAGTAGAGGCAGATGGGTCCATCCTGAACCCCTTGTTCCCTCCATCCCCGGCCCTGCTCCTGCCATCGCTCTGGAGCTGGACAGGAGGGAGAGAGGCCGAGGCAGAGAAGGGCCTGGGGCGCACCGGGGTAGGGCACATCAGAAACAGTGCTCAGAGCCGGAGACCAGAGCCAGGGACGGCATCAAAGGCTCAAGACAGGCCATGTGCGTGCTTGGCAACACATGACAGGGCCAAAGCACTCATTCCCAGCCGGCCCACCCTCCTCAGGCCACCACTTTGAGCCCCTGAGGCTTTGACCAGATTGCTCGCACGCTCTAGGCCTGGATTGCAGTTCCTGGGGGACTGCAGGCCCTGGGGGAGGGGGATGGCGCCAGGACTTTGGCACGGAGTGGCTGTGACAGCTTGGCATCCCTTACCCTGCCGGGCTGGGGCTGAGGCTGACAGGGCCCTGGGGCCAACAGACCCAGCTGTGCAGCATCACCAGGCCACGAGGCCAGATGTCTGTCCATGAGGCCTCTGGTCATACTGCAGAACTGACCGACACTGTCTCCCACCAGTGGGGTGGTGCTGGGAATGAGGTATTGGCAAGGTGGCTTATCAGGGTTGGGGCCATTCTGTGGTGGTGGAGTTAGGGCCTGGTCTGCACCAGGATCATCTGTTGCCATGACCAGGCATGGGTCTGGGCCCAGCACCACAGCGTTCCCCAGTGAGCCCTTCGCCCGGCGGTGGGGACTGAACTCGTGATCTTGGCTGGGCAGACAGCCCCTGGCCTGGCCAGTGAACTCGCTTTTCCTTAGGAAACTATTCACTTTGCTCATTCATGGTGTCCCCCTCTGGGGCCCGGCGCCTCCTAAGACAGCCCTGTGTCAGACAGCCAGAACCCCACCCATCCACTGTTGCCCAGTGGCTGAGGACGCTGACCTCACGCAGTCCTATCAGTGTGGGAATGGCTGCATTTTTACTGGCAGCGGCCGCATTTCCTTACCGCTTACTTACAGCTCGGCCACAACCCTGGCCCCGGCCCATGCTGCTCAGGGCTGGAGACAGTTGGCTGTCCATTGAAAGGCGCTCAGACCCAGCCTCATGCCAGGCCCTCTCCAGGGAGAGGAATTGCCTGAGTTTTAATCCAGGCTCCATCTCTTTCCAGCTGTGTGACCCCAGGCACATCCCTCAACTTCGTTGAGCCTGATTTCACATCTGTTAAGATGTAAATAATAATCCTAGCCCTTCCCACTTCACAGAGCATAAATGGGGAAAAAAAAAATGCTTCAAAAACAAAAATGGCTTTGCAGATTTCCAACAACATCATCATTCTCATCATCATCATCATCACATTGTTACCATGTTTTTATTAGCTCTGGCTAATAGAAGATTCTACCTACTTCCTTCCAGGGGTCCCAGGAGCTATTCCTGGAGGACTTCCCGGAGGACTTCCTGGAGGACTTCCCGGAGGAGGCTTTTTCCCAGGTAATGTACATGAAACTTCCCCCTACCCAGGAGAGGAAGCTTGTGAGTACATCCGTGAGAGATGCACATTGCGGAAGGGAAGAACATTGTCATGCCTACTACAGAAGACCCAGAAGTCACTGCTACTTAGAAAAGCAGTTTGCATGACACTGTCTTACCACTAGTAAGAGCATAAACCTTCTGAAAGATGAAACAATGCTTTTGAGGTTATAGGAAAGTGAGTGCTTTCACGCACTCCTGCCATTCACAGTCTTCCAACCATTAACCCCACTTTGGAAATCCACTTAGAGGAAATAATTGAAGAGGAAAAGAAGGATCTTCAATGAGGTTCATAGGTGTGGTGTTTGCAAAACTGTAAAGCAAGAAACCCACCTGACTGGAGGGTGTGATTAAGTAAACTCGGAAATATTACCCAGTTACTAAAAAGTATGATTATGTTATCTGTTGTGCAATATGGTGACATGTTTTTCAAGTAACAACAACATAAAAGCAACGACCATGTGTAGGTGGAGACAGGGAGGCCCCTCCACCAAAAGAAAATGGGGAGCCCTAACAGGTTTGGCTCAGTGGATAGAGTGTTGGCCTGTGGACTGAAGGGTCCCAGGCTCGATTCCGGTCAAGGGCCTGTACCTTGCTTGCGGGCACATCCCCAGTAGGAGGTGTGCAGGAGGCAGCTGATCGATGTTTCTCTCTCGCATCGATATTTCTAACTCTCTATCCCTCTCCCTTCCTCTCTGTAAAAAACTCAATAAAATATATTTTAAAAAATGGGGAAAATGTTGGAGCAATGCCATTTAGAAAAAAGCATAATGCTTTAAAGTAGATTGAAAGATCAAAGTCATATTTTTAATACTTAAGAAGCATTGGAGTGTTCAGAACTGACATGGAAGTGAGGGCAGCTACCAGCACACTCTCAGGCACAAACTAGCACAGGGCTATTGGCCCTATGAGACAAATGAGGAAATGGAGGTTCGCAAAAGTTAAGGCTTGCCTGAGGTGATGTAGCTAGGCAGCGACGGATTTGACCGTGGGTTGATGGGTGGCTTTCTGGCAGGGGCACTGATCTGACAGGGGCACTGATGTTTCTCTCTCCCATCTCCCACCCCCCATCCCCCCACCCCCCTAGGGACTGGTATCGGAGGCCTGGGAGGAGGAGGTGAGTGCAGAAACCAAATCTATTTCCTCACTGATGGGGTCTAAGTGTCACTCTAGCCCACACAGGTCCTTAAACCTCAGAGCCCCAGAAAGTCCAAGCATCAAGGGTCCCTTGTTTTATAGACCAAGTGCCTCTTGGGGAGAGCCTTGTCTGAGAACTGGAACCCATTGGCCTCCAAGCCCCTCCCCCAGGCCTTCTCCCGCTTTCTTTTGATCCTCCGCACACCCCTGAAATGCTGGCTGAGCAGGTGTCCTTGTTCCCTCAGAGGCTCTGAGAAACTGAGTCTGAGAGTAAACACCACAAATCAGGGCTGGAGCTGGGCTTCCCACCGGACGTCTATCCCCTGGGCTCCCAGCAGCTCCCTGTCCGAAGGGAGGGCTGCTCCTGACAGCCCCTTTAGGACTTGGAGAGTAAGACCCCACAGTGCTCTTGCTTTGCCCTGAGGGTCTAAGACAGGGGTGCTCCTCATTCACTGCCATCTCTTCCCTCTGCAGGGCTGGGGCCTGGAGGCAAACCGCCCAAGCCAGGTAAGACCTGAGGTGGCAGGGCGCTGAGCGTGGGCCAGGGGGCAGGGGAGGGGAGAGCCTACCTAGCAAGGGCAAGAGGCAGGAAGGAAGTGGTGGGCAGTACCATCCCCCGGTATGTGCAGGCTGGGGCCGGAGTCCGGGGACAGGAAGCTGGCAGCAGCTTGTGCGAGGAGTGTCCAGCATCTATTCTACAAGGGCCTCTGTGCCCAGCTGCCCTGTCCCCTATGCACATGGCCTCAGAGGCAGCCCTGGTGCTCAGGACAAACGGAGGGCTTGATGTTCCAGAGGCACCATGCTGGGAATGTCACTCTGGGACTCAGACACAGAGGGTAGGCTCCAGACCCCACCTGATGGTCCCTTGACTCAGACCAAGCCCTCCCTAACCCCAGGCCTCTCTAACTCCATGTCCCTGACTCTTGATGACAATCTGAGCCCTTTTCCTGGTGCCAGGCTGAACCTTGAGTCCAGACCAAGCCCGAAACTAAACCCCAGGTTGGACCCTGACTCTGGCCCCAGATGAGCATCCTCCTTGATCCCAGGCCCCTTCTGGCTGTCCAGACCGTAGAGTATTCCAGGAAGGAGATGTGACTAAACCAGTGATCGGCAAACTGCAGCTCGCGAGCCACATGCGGCTCTTTGGCCCCTTGAGTGTGGCTCTTCCTAAGCCTTAGGAGTACCCTAATTAAGTTAATAACAATGAACCTACCTATATAGTTTAAGTTTAAAAAACTTGGCTCTCAAAAGAAATTTCAATCGTTGTACTGTTGATATTTGGCTCTGTTGACTAATGAGTTTGCCCACCACTGGACAGACTGTCCTGGCCCTGCCGAATCTGACACCAGGGTCCACCACCAGTTCCAAAGAACACACCCCCAGGAAAGAGGGAGGGCGTGTCCCTCCAGGAAGCACTGGTGGACAAGGAGCAGGTGGAGGAAGTGGTGTCTCTGTCCAGATGTGTGACCCCACTGGCGTGAGATACTTCACATGGGGCCTTGCCCCCACCCCCCGCCCCCACTGCTCTGTGTCTCCCTGGCTCTGAAGCCGAGGCTCCAGGACAGTTTGGGTGTCCAGCAGCTCTTACGAAACCCGCTGCTGGATGATCCAATTGCAGATGAATCTGCAAGACCCAGATTCCCCCCTCCCTGCCAGCCCATCTGGGTTGTGAAACACCAGGGTTGGGCCGGGCCAGGGGGAGGCAGAAGGACAGGAAGCCAGGGGAAGGGGTTCCTGGGATTTGGGGGTCGATGAGGCTGGAGCCCTTGGAACTCACTGCTTATCCTGCCAGAACCTGCCTCCTGCCTCCTGGGAGGGACCTTCACAGGGTCTCTGATGGCAGAAAGAATGTCGAGAAGGACTAGATAAGCCAAGACGTGGAAACAGGTCTGTGCTTAGCCGAGAAGAACCAAATTGTGGAGGTTGTGACTGCAAAGCTAGAGAGGGGATTGGCTGATCTCACTGGGGACACATGGCAGATTGTGATGAGACCTAGGAGGGAAGACTGAGAAAACTGCAGAGAGCCCCATAACTGTGGCCGCTAAAGTGAAGCTTTTATTAATGATCTAGTTTAGACTTCCGAAAGTGCTCTCAGGGCAGGATGAAGGAGTAGACCCCCAAAAAGTCAGGGTGTCTCTTCCTGATGAAAAGGTGCTGGATCCCACAACCTCCCTGAGGTCATCAGGACTCAGCTACCAAAGTCCAAACAAAGCAACAGCCCCCCTCCTTCCCTCAGCAGCTCCTCACTTCCATCCGGCTCAGGGGGGTGTCCGGGCCTGCCCAGGCAAGATGGAACGGGGCATGGGCAGTGTGTGTCATGCTTAGGAACAATTAATCCCTTGGCAAGTGGAGGGTGGGTGGCCTGGCAGCTGCTCCATGTGGGCCTCAGCGCGCTGGCCCTGCCTGGGCTCTCAGTGGGGGACCAGGCAGCTGGGAGCCAGCAACACCCACACTCTGAGCACCAGCTGGAGGCCAGCCACCCACACGAGAGGACTGGAAGGAATGGGCCACACCCACTGGACACCCTGGCATATTGCACACACTAGGTGCTTTCTGCTCATGATCTTACTGGTCCCAGGAAGGGCAGGGACACAATGACCATTTCTAGGTGGGGAAACTGAGTCTCAGAGAGGTGAAGAGACTCGCTCCCACACACATGGAGTCGGCAGGAGTAGCAGCATTTGAATCCAGAGCTCTCTGATTCCAGGATGCGAGGGGGTTGGGCTGGCCAGGCCCCTGGGCTCCCTGCTGTGGCCAGCACCTCACCCCTCCTTTCCTCCTTTCCAGGGGCTGGACTCCTTGGGGGATTTGGACCAGGTGAGTCCAAAGGAAGGAGGGCAAACAGGAGAGGGGCTGGTCATGCTGGAGGGCGGCCTGGGGACCAGGCACCTAGGGAGGAGGCTGGGAAAGGACAGATGACTCCAGAGAGGTTGCCCGCTCCCACCCCCACCTGTCCCAGCCTCTTGTCACTTCCTGTTCAGTTCCCATCTTCTCGTCCAGCCCCTCTGTGCTCAGGAAAGGTCCCAGCCCTGTTGGAGCTCAGGAAACAGGCCTGGCTTGAAAGAAGCCCCAGTCAGAGCTGGGGAGGGGCAAGGCCCACAGTGCTGGGAAGTGAACTCCCTGCCCCCAGCCCAGGCCTGACCCACACCAGGCATGCCTGGGAGGGAGACCAGCCAGAGATAGACACCCATCTTACAGAGGGGCTGGCTGAGCTGCAGGTGGGGCCAACTCACACAAGTAGGAAATAAGTGGGGGGAGGGAGACCACACCCAGAGAAAGCCAGGTAGACTCCCCAGGCTTGGCAGTCCCCCATGTTTGGGGTCAGTCCCCAGAGAGGGCTTCCCTGGGCTCAGGACCCTGGCAGCCAGGCAGCCAGACTGGTGCTTGCAGGAGAGGTTCTCACGTAATTGGAAACAAAGCCGGCACGCTTGTGAACTCCAACCTGATTGCCCATCCGTCCTGGCCAAAGCCTGGAATGTCTCCTGGAGGGGGAGAAGGAGCGATTGGGCCCAGATGTGAGAAGGAGAGAGCCAGAGGGACCATTTGACTTCTCATAAACATTTTAGCATCCGTCTGAAATCGAGGAGGCTCCTGGACTGCAGGCAGCCTGGATGGACACATAGACAGATGCTGGGAACTGGAGGGTCTCCAGATACAAGGGAGAGGGAATGGGCTGAGCCAGGAGACACCTGCAAGGAAGTAGAAGAGAGGTCTGGGTTGGGGGCTAATGTGGGAGCTGGGCAGGGCCTGGCCTGGGTCAGGTCTTGCTGACAGATTCTACTCAGCTTCCACCCTCAGAGAAAGCCCTGCTCAGTCTTCCATTTGTTGGCAGGCCTTTTAGGGGAAGCAAGGCCTGGCCTAGGTGCATTATGGGGGGGGGGGGGTGTGTGGCTAATACAGTTACATCTACATGGCACATAGTAGCTGGTCACTAAACGGTAGCTGCTGTCTTATCAAGATCGGCCCCTGAGCACCAAAGGCTCGAGTCCAGCTTGGGGTCTGAGTGGCTACACACTGACCACAGCCCTGCCTGGTTCCTGCCTGCCCATCATGAGACCCTTCCCACCCAGGATCCAGGAATGATGCCCACACACCAGTCTCTCGTCTCCTCACTGGCTCTGTCTCCTTCTCCCTACAGGTGCTGGAGGGCTCCCAGGAGGGGCAGGTTAGTATTGACACCCAAGCAAGACGCCCATTTGGTGCCAGAGCCAAGCCCAGGGTATCTGCCTGGTAGGTGGGCCGGGCCAGGCCAGCCCTGGGCGCTGGTGTGAGGGTGATGCTGAGACCACTTGCCCTAAGCAGCTGCCCAGGACACAAGGAAGTAACCGCTGCGTCCTGAGTGCTAGTATGATGTAGTGCCAAGAGGCTGCAGGGGCCAGTGGAGCCCAGAGGAGTTGCGCAATTCGGCAGGGTGTCAGGAAGACTTCCTGGAGGAGGGGGTGTGGAAGTTTGATCCCAAGAGAGCCTGCAGCTTTGTCAGGCTGAGTAGAACCATCTGGCACGTGTTGCTCTCCAACACTGATCCTGGTCCTGGGGACAGAGGCCGCTGCTTGGTGTGGAAGTCCTGCAGAGAATAGGAGAGCCACCTCAACGCGCCTCCTGGGCAGCACTGGTTGGGCTCAGGACCTCACTCTGTCCTCCCCTCCACAGGGCTCGGCGCCTTTCCTGGGGGCGCCTTCCCGGGGGTTCTACCGCCTGGGGTTAGCGCTTCTGCAGCCTATAAAGCTGCAGCCAAAGCTGGTGAGTGTGACAATTTGGGACATGCCATCCTACAGACCCTCTCGCCTCCGTGGGCTCTCCACTTTGCAAAGAACATTTCCTGGGAGGCAGGCGGGATCCTCATCTCTAATCTTCTGGCTCAGAGAGGCAACCAGTCTCCAAGGGAGGTGGTGGCATGATCAGATATCATCTCTGGGCTCTCCACATGCACCAGGTCCCTCCCACCTCCCACTGCTCCTTGCCTGACTCCTCGCCTCTCCCACTCCTGGCTCTGTAGGTGCTGGGCTTGGCGGTGCTGCTGGTGTCGGCGGGCTTGGCGTCGGCGGGCTTGGTGTCGGTGGACTTGGTGGTGTCGGTGGACTCGGTGGCTTAGGAGTGTCTACAGGTATGGTGGCTAACCCTGCGTGGCCCTGGGGAAGGCTGAAGGCCTGGTGACACCAGCTCTGACACGGTCCCTTCCATGCCAGGTGCAGTGGTGCCTTCCGGAGTGGGAGTCGGAGCTGGAGTGAAGCCTGGGAAAGTGCCGGGTCAGTGTGGAGTCCCTGGGGCTGGACAGCAGGTTCAGGGAGGGGCTGAGGCCCTCACCCCTGTACTGGGTGGGACAGGTGGGGCCTGGCTGCAGCGGGGCAGGGAAGAGCGATCGGCCCAAAGTGTGGGGCCCTGTTCAAAATGGGGAGAGGGACTCCAGCCCACCTTCTGGGCCCTTCTTCCAGGATTTCAGAGATCTCAGAGACAGGCCTGTGGCAGACATCCAGGGGACAGATGGGGACACTGAGGCTCAGCATGGGTGTCAGTGCAGAGGGCCCGTGGTGGTCACAGCAGAGCCAGGGTGGCCAGAGGAGCCTTGACTCCCCATCTGGTGCTCATTCCTCTGCACCGAGCCCTTGAGGAAGTGACTTCAGGTTAAACAAAAGCCTGCCTGAGTCCACGCAGCAGGGAAGGAACATCTGGAAGCTGTTAGCCCAGAGGTGGGCTGGGCCGGCCATGTAAACAGGCTCCAGAAGACAAGATAAATCCATGCACAGAAGGGTTCGCAGATGACTCCTGAAGCTCAGGGGAGGAAGGCCGTGGCCACAACACATGTCCCTGGCTGTCCTTGCCAGGCACTGGGGTGGCTGGTTTGTGAGGCCTGGAGCTGTGGAGGGAAGGCCAGGGAGGGGTTCCTGGATGCTGGGGTGCTGCTCACGGCTCCTCCTTCTTTTGGCCACAGGTGTGGGTCTACCAGGTGTATACCCAGGTGGAGTGCTCCCAGGCACAGGTAAAATCACAGAGAAGAAGGAGACCCTCCCTATAGCCTGGAGACCATCTCCTGGTGGCCCCTCAACTCCCTGTAAGCTGAGGCCACCAGAGCATCAAAGCTCAGGCTAAGGGACACAGGGCCTCTGTCATCATTTCCCATGAAGGCCAGTCAGCTTCCCCTCATCCTACCCAGCTCCGGCCCCAGGCCCTGACCCAGATCATTGTCGCAGCCCAAGGTGGGCCCCTGAGGACATACCAAGTCCCCGGTGCAGCCAGCTGATTCCCAAAAGCCATGAGTCACCAGGGAGCCCGCCCAGAGCATCTGCCCAGTAGGAGACCCTCAGAGCTGCCCTCTCACCCTCCTCTCCCTCCAGGCCTGGCCACCCCACCCGACATGTGACCTCCTGAATTCCCCTAAAAGCCCAGACTGGGGCTGCTCTGGGAGATTTGCTGACTGTGTCCCTCCCTCTGTCCCAGGTGGCCCAGTCCCAGGGGAGACAGGAGAGGTGGGAGGGCCAGGCACTGGCAAGTGCGGAGCTCCCGGCCACAGCAGAGGGCTGTGTGCTCGGTTGTGGGCACAGGCTTCTCACTTCCTGCCAGTTTTTACTGTCTGCCTTCTCTGGTAAGGGTGGGCAGGGTGGCCTCAGCTCAGAGACAAGGCCAGCTGAGGCACAAGGTCATATAGCTAGGAAATGGGATTAAAGTCAGATCTCCCGAGTCAGACAGGGAAGAGAAGCCACCATCAAACTGCCCCCATCCCACATGAGCTGTGTCGTCACTGACGGTCAGTGCAGAAGGAGGGCAACTTCCTGCCCCAAGGGTGGTGTGGGAGCCAGGTTGGGCCTTCTAGGCCTGCCTTCCCACCCTCACTGCCAGACCCCCTTTGCTCTCACAGGAGCTCGGTTCCCAGGTGTGGGGGTGCTCCCTGGGGTTCCCACTGGAACAGGAGTCAAGCCCAAGGCCCCAGGTATGTGACCAGTGGGCTGGGGACCCATGGTGGGAACCTGTATCTACCCTCAGCCCCCTATCGAGGGGAGGAGGAGTGGGGCTGAGGGCCCATGGTGGGAACCTGTATCTACCCTCAGGCCCCTATGGAGGGGAGGAGGAGTGGGGCTGAGGGCCCATGGTGGGAACCTGTATCTACCCTCAGGCCCCTATGGAGGGGAGGAGGAGTGGGGATGGGGACTCATGGTGGGAACCTGTATCTATCCTCAGGCCCCTATGGAGGGGAGGAGGAGTGGGGATGGGGACTCATGGTGGGAACCTGTATCTATCCTCAGGCCCCTATGGAGGGGAGGAGGAGTGGGGCTGAGGGCCCATGGTGGGAACCTGTATCTACCCTCAGGCCCCTACGGAGGGGAGTAGGAGGGAGGCTGGGGACCCTGGGCTCAGGGCCCTCTGGGTGGGCACCCCTTGTGCTCCAACCTTGGTTCTGGTGGCCGAGATGGACAGAACACCTCTCAGAAATCCCAAGTGTGTGTGAGGCAGCATCAACCTGGAAATCGGGGCAGAATTGGCCACTCCCCAGCCCTCTGTGCTGCCTTACACCAGCCATTGGTGCCTCGGGGCCCTGCGCCCACAGTGAAGGGACTACAGTGATGGCTCCTTGTCATTGCAGGTGGAGGGGGAGCTTTTGCTGGAATCCCAGGTGAGGCAAGGCGAGAATCCCTGGTGGGTGGGCAGGCCAGCAGGGTGGCCAGCCAGGCAAAGGCACTCACCGTGGGCGGGGCGGGGCATTCAGAATCCCATCAGGCTTGTCCAATGCCCCTCATGCCCATTGCTCCAGGCCTTGGACTGGCTCCAAACAAAGTGGCATCAATCACAGTTCTGCTTCCCAGTCCCAACCCCTTGTGTGTGGCAGCTCACTGAGTCCAGAAAACCTACCAGTCTGTGCCAAATGCTGCAAGGGCTGCAGGGCCCAACTGGGGGAGAGTTCTGCAGCTTTCTGTAGGCCATGGCCCATCACGGGAAGGGCTCAGCTGATCAGTGACAGCAGCAGGAACGCCCTCAGGGCAGGATGGTTTCTGGGTGCAGCGAGGCTCCCTCTATCTGAGCAGAAAGTGGGGAGCAAGGCTGGGGGCTAGCGGAGATGCTGGCTCAGGTTGCTAAGGCCTGATTTTGTTCTCCTTTTTTCTCGCAGGAGTTGGACCCTTTGGGGGTCAGCAGCCTGGAGTCCCACTGGGGTACCCGATCAAGGCACCCAAGCTGCCAGGTAAGCCAGAAGGAGGAGTCAAGAGGCACCTCTCACCAAGTCTCACAGCTGAGGAGCCATCTGTGGGGGCACATTTTTGGTTACCATTGTCTCTTGTGGGGGGTGTCAGGAAGCCTATGTACCGAACCCCACTTCTGGTCGCCAGCAAAGAAAAGCATGGGGAAGCCACCCTGCAGGTGTTGGCCTCACTCACATGCACACACAGGCACAGAGCCCTGATAGGAAACCATCGGTGTTGATGGTAAGAAACACTGTTCACTGGAAAGAGCCCTCGGACATCACACAATGAGCTGTTTCTTATTGGGGAAGGGAGTAAGGAAGCTACTCAGACTCTAGGGACCTGGGGGGGTGCCCCCCTCCCTCTTCCACCCAGGGCCTCTGCTCTCCTGAGAGCAACCGTGGGCTGCTCGTGACCCTGGGGAGGGTCTCAGGCCTCAGCAGCTGTAGGAATAGATCTGTCCACCAAGGTAGGGGGAGCCCAGCGAGCCATGGGGCTACTTTGGGGCAACACCTGAGCCTACCTCCCCACCCCTCAGGTGGCTACGGACTGCCCTACAGCACGGGGAAACTGCCCTATGGTGAGTAAGGCCCTCCCAGACCAGTGGGCTTCTGGCTCTTTCCAGATGCAGGGTTCTAGCAAGAGAGCTGCAGCCCCAACCCAGGGCTAGGAGAGCACCCGCTGGAGGTGGGAGGGGTCTTGGAAAGGGAATTCCCTCAGGAAGGAACATGGAACTTGGACTCAGACAGCTTGGTTCTCAAGCCTGGCCCTCACACTTGCGAGAACCGGCTTCTTCCCTGAGCCTGTGTTTTCATCTGTACAGTGGGAGTAACCATCCCCCACACATATTTGAACTTGTTTTAACTCTGACTGGGGGTGACATGGTGGAGACTCTGGGCAGCGCAGCCCCTGAATGCATAGGGTAGGGCGGGCAGCTGCAGTGAGAGCTGAACGGATGCCCAGTGAGCCTCTCTGTTTTACAGGGTATGGGCCTGGAGGAGCGGCTGGCGCCGGGGCCAAGACTGGGTACCCAACAGGGACAGGTAAGGGGCCAGCCAAAGGGGTTCTGATCACCCTGGCTCCAGGGCTCTGGGGCGGGCCATGATCTGTCCAGAAAACAGGCCAGCCCACCCTGCACTCAGATCCCCGTCTGAGCCGGAAGAAGGATCCTGGGTGGGACAGCGCTATAGCCTCTGGTGGCTGTGATGCCCCCACCTACACCCATATGTGAACAGATGGCTCTCCTAGGGCTGGAGTGGAGGCCTCTGGAGATGCAGGGCCACAGTTTTCAGTCTCTCCCCTTCCCCTCCCCCAGGGGTTGGTCCCCAGGCTGCAGCAGCAGCAGCTAAAGCAGCAAAGTATGGTGAGTACCTCTGAAGTCCCTAGCTGCTAGCCCCCAGCCTCACAACCTCTCCATCCTGTTATCACTCAGAGCCTGCCTCACAGATAACTAACCAAGGCAGCCCACCCGCCTTTGTCCAACTTTTTTGACCCCACCTATTCCTCCTTCCTTCCATCCATTCATCTATTCTTCCCTCCATCCCTCTCTCCATCATCCATCCATCCATCCATCCCTTCATTCCTCCATCCATCCCTTCATTCCTCCATCCATTCATTCCTCCCTCCCTCCATTCTTTGATCCATCCACCATCCATCCATCCACTCACACATCTAATTACCCCTCCCCTGCTCCCTCCCTCTATCCATTCATTCTAGAGACCAGGGACAGATAAGAGCTCTGCTGGAGGCTGGAGGCACGGTTGTGGGACTGAAGAAGAGGGAGATATTATGTCTACTGGGGGAAGAAAATCAGGAACCCTTCTCAGAGAAAATGACATTTGATTGAGGCCTTAAAATATAGGTGGAGTTTGCCATGTGGTTAAAGCAGGAAGAAGGAGCCCGTGCAGAGGGGATGGGTACTATGGTGGTTAGAATGAGCATTTTAAAAATGTAACAGTTTAGTATCAATGTAGTGTGCACTCTAAAAATTTTAACTGGCTCCTCAAGCTCATGATCCCTTGGCTGGCAGACATGGTACGCCCTTCCCTGTGCCCATGCTGTGAGCAGCATGGGCCTCTGTCCCCCTGTCCCAGGTAGTCTCAGTTCAGAGTCAGATCATTGGGGCTAAAGTCCTCACCTTCATCTCCAGTGCCAGGGGAGCCCTTCCTGCAGCCATGGTGGGACCAACCAAGGGGGCGAAAATGTGGAGGGCAGCATTGAGCTGGAGGCCGACCCCAGGAGGCCCCATAGGCTGTCCCTCCAGGCCCCTGAGGGTGGAATGTGGGAGCAGGAGATTGGGACAGCGAGGGCCTGCCAGAGCCAGGCAGCCAGGCGCTTGGATTATAAACTTGGCGGAGCCTTTGGAACACAAGGAGAGGAAGCCTTGAACATTCCTACAGGGGCCCCTCTGGCCCAGGGAGTGGCCGCTTGTGGTTTCTCAGTATGTGGCAGTGATTAGAATGGGATTTGCCTGAAAACATACAAGTCCCTTAATGAGCGTGTTGAAATGGACACTTTGGGGGTGAGTCAATGAACAGGGGGGTGGGGGCCTTCTCAAGCAGGCCCCGCCAGAGATGCCTGGGCCTCGTTCCCAGAGGAGACTGTGCTAGTTAAAACGCCAGCATCCAAGTGGCCTTCCTTCCCAGCCTCAGGAGGGGCCCTGGGAGCTACATCTGCACTGTCCCCATCCCCGCAGGTGCTGGAGGAGCCGGAGTTCTTTTCCTGGGATTGGAGGCGTTGGAGGTAGTGTCTGTTCCAGCAGGGGGTGGGGTGTCCTGGAGAAGGCCACGGGGAAAGGCCTCACCCTCTGTGGCTGTCTTTCCAGGGGTCGGGGCTGCTGCGAAGGCGGCTGCAAAGGCAGCTAAATATGGTGAGTGCCCTCAGGGGAGGAAGACGTGGGACTCTGGCCTGCCCTCAGGCCCTTGGAGCCAGCCCAGGCCTCTACTAGGCCTTGGAGACCTCAGTTCTCTAAGACTGAATGGACTTGGCCTTTGTCCACCTGTGGACACCTCCCTTCCACATCCCCAAACATGCCTGTCTGACCACTCTGCCTGGCCCTGTCTGTTGTTCTTCACTGATTGGCCCAGCAATGGGGGACCCCTGTGGAGCATCTGGCTCCTCCCACCCTACTCCCAAGGCCAACCCATAGCTACTGCACCACCTGCCTGGGTGCTAGTGGTATGCTCTGAATTTGCTTTAGACATAGACCATGTTCTTCCCACTCACAGACCCAAACCCTTAGAACTCCAAAGGCAATGTCAGCCCACCTGGGATCCTGGACTCAGGACCTGCCGCCCCCACAACTCCCCAGAACCATGCCCTTATAGGCCCTTTAAGGTTCCCACAGGGTTTAGGCCAGAATAATTCTTTCCTTCCACAGGAGCTGCTGGAGGCTTGGTACCTGGTGGCCCAGGAGTTGGAGTCCCTGGTGTTGGAGTCCCTGGTGTTGGGGGAATCCCAGGTGTTGGAGTCCCAGGTGTTGGGATCCCAGGTGTTGGAGGAGTCCCAGGTGTTGGAATCCCAGGTGTTGGAGGAGTCCCAGGTGTTGGGATCCCAGGTGTTGGAGTCCCAGGTATTGTGGGTGGACCAAGTGAGCTGGGCTGTATGTGTGTGTGTATGTGTGTGTGTTGTAAGAGAGAAATACTGACACTATTGCCAAGACTTTTGGATTCTCCCTAACACTTCACTTATCTATCCTCTTCTCCCATACCTTGACCATGACTCATCTTCTCTCCCTTGGGCTATAACAACCTCCAGCATCATCTTCTCCCACTCACCTTCTCATTGCCAGTGTGCTCCTGAGGGGAGGAACCATGCCTTTTTCATCTCTATGTCCCCAGTCCTTAGGTGAATAGATAGATGCTCAGTAAGTGGTGAATAGATGGGTGGGTGGATGGATGGGTGGATGGATGGGCAGATGGACAGCTGGGTATGTGGGTGAATGGCCATGTGGATAAGTAGAGGTTGAAGGATAAGAGGATGAATGGACAGAAAAAAAGGATGAATGAATAGATACATGCGTAAAATGGTGGATGAAGGGATAAATGGGTAGATGGAAAGACAGATGGAAGAGTAGACGAGGGACTAAATAAGTGAATAAACTGATAAATGGATGGGTGGGTGGATGGATGGATGGTGGATGAGCACATAGTTGGATGAGCAGACGAATAGATGCGTGGGTGAGAGGCAAATGCAAAATGGATGGTTAGATATATGAATAGATGAATGGGTAGATGAGTGAATAAATGGATGGTCAGATGGGTTCATGGATGGACAGAGAGACAAGTGGTTGTATTGAAGTCTAAGGATAGATAGGCAAATGGACAGACATGTGGGTAGGTAAGTGGGTGGGTGAATGAGTGGTTAAGTACACAGAGAACTAAATGGAGATGTGACTGGGTAGACAGATAACTAAACATCCATTGGGTTGGCTTGATAGAGAGAAAGAAGATAGACTGGACAGATGGGTGGATGGTAGGATATATATTGACCATCTTTCTTCCATTCTCTCCTGATCATCTGTGTCCCCTTGGTCTCTCCAGGGGCTGTGTCACCAGCTGCAGCTGCTAAAGCAGCCGCCAAAGCAGCCAAATATGGTGAGTGTGTTGATAGCTCTGCCCCTCCCTGTTCTGGCCAGAGAAAGGGGATGACTTGCCCCGGGTTACACAGCAGGTCACTGGCTGAGCTGGACCTGTTGGGCCCCAGGATGAGGCCATGAGGCTGAGTGATAGGAGAGTTGTAGTATGGCAGTGGGGACAGTGTCCCTGCCCCTCCCCACCCAAGCCAGGACCCCCCTCACAGGAGCCAAGTCTGGCTGGGGAAATGGGACCTGCCCACCCTCTCTCCATAACCAACAGGGCCCGATCCCAATCAGAGAAGAGAGGGGCTGCAGAACTGCTGGGGGAGGGTTTCAATAAAGGTTTCCTGGAAAAGGCTGCTGGGGGCCCAGGCATTCTCTGGTTTCCTGTCCTTCAAGACCAGACTTGAGGGGGGGCTTGCTCCTACTCTCCTAGTCCACTAGCACCCCCAGGGCCCTCCCAGCCTCTCTCACTGATCTCTTTTTCTATCCATTCTCCTCTCTCTGCAGGGGGCAGAGCCGGAGTGGGAGTTGGTGCTGGGGGCTTTCCGGGCTACGGCGGTCTTGGAGCTGGAGTCGGTGGTCTTGGAGCTGGAGTCGGTGGTCTTGGAGCTGGAGTCGGAGGTGTCCCTGGAGCTGGCATTTCCCGTGAGCCCTAGTTCCACCTGGGAAAACAGGGCGGAGGCATGGGGGCTTCTCTTCTGTAGAGCTTGAGGTGGTGGGGGAGTGTTGATTGGGCTGTACGTGCTCAGGGAGGCATTGGGGAGTGTGCAGGGAGGGCCTGCAGCGCCTGTCAGGGTAGGAGAGCAGTCAGCACAGCCCCACTGAGATCCAGCCAGGTTTCTGAGGGTCTCTCTCTCTCTTTCTCATTCCGCCATAGCTGCAGCCCAGGCAGCCGCAGCCGCCAAGGCAGCTAAGTATGGTAAGTGCCCTGGCCCTACCTGCCCCCATGCCCAGGGCAGTGTCCTTCCCTCCTGGGCAGCATGTCCCCTCCTCTCAGAGCCTGGACCCCAGCCCTGCTCTGCCCTGGGGCCCAGGCTCTGAGCTCAGAGCAGTTCTCCAGCATGAGGACAAAACAAGCTCACGCTCAGGCCTCCAGGGCTGAAATGGCCTGGGCCAAGATCAGGAGCCCCTGACCCCATCTTCCCAAGCCACGCTGAACTTGCCTGCCCTTTTCAATTGCCCAATCCTTAGGGTTCCTGGTGCCCAGCTTATCACCCCACCCCAAACCAGCGAGTTGAAGGTGCTCACCGCAGCCATTCTGTTCCCCACCCCACATTCACCCTCTGCTCCCTCAAGGAGGGGAGCTTCGCGGGGCAGCGCTGATGCTCTTCACTACTCTAGGTGCTGGAGGAGCAGGAGGTCTGGGCGGGCTGGTGCCAGGTGCCAGAGGCATTGTACCAGGTGTGCCGGGCATCGGAGGGGTGCCGGGCATCGGAGGGGTGCCGGGCATCGGAGGGGTGCCAGGTGAGCTGTGTTCCCAACCCAGAGATGGGTTTGGTTTGCGTCGTGGAAGGGCCCCTGGAGTGGACCCAGGTCAAAGGCACCATTTTATAGATGGCAAGACTGAGCCCAGAGATGGGGAGGAGGAAAAGCAATGCCCCCTAGTGTGGAGGGAAGACCTTTTACGGGATTCCAGTCTGCTGAACAACCTGGCAAGTCCCTCCCTCGGGGATGTCAGCCGGCTGGGTGCTGGAGCTCCGCCCTGTCAGGGCTGGGTGGCCTCGCTTACGTTAGGGTCCTTTCTGTCCCTGATTAGGGGAAGGGCCTATGTCACCCTTTGGTTCCCCTGCACTCTTTCTCCTCCACCAATCAGAGGCCAAAGGGAAGAAATTAAGAGTTACAATGAGATTAAGTTACAACCTCCCTTGGTTTTTTTGCCCACCAGATTTCCATTTTCCTTCTTTCTGGGGGGAAATTCCCCCTTTGAGTTTCCCTCCAAAATGAGACATTTCCTCCAATAGTTTTAAAAATTAGCATCGCCTTTAGCAGAAAGCTGCACAAATCCTTTAACAGAGATTTGGAGACGGTCTAGGCCTTGGCCAGCCACCGCTTCAGGCTCCCACCACCATAGAATGAGCTAGACTGTCACAGTCCCCAAGCTGCTTGCAGGGAAGGGGCATGTCCAGGGCAGCTAGCGGGCCATCCTCACAGCAGGCCTGGAACCCTTCCTTCTCTGGCTCCAGTGTAAGGAGGCAGCACAGAGCATAGCACTGGTTTTCTGGAGGCATCCCTGGAGCTGTGGGGGTTGGGGGAGAGTGAGGACGGGTGCAGGGAGCCCCTCCCTAACGCTTTCTCTTTACCTCTCCAGGAGCTGGAACCCCAGCAGCTGCAGCCGCCAAAGCAGCTGCCAAAGCTGCTCAATATGGTATGTGTCCCGCCCCAACTCTGTTCCCAGCGCACATCCTATAGCACCGCTCTCCTGTCCTCTGTTCTGGGGTCTGGCAGCCCCGCAGCTCACATTCTCGCTGTGGGCCTTTGACCTATCTGGCCACTTTCAGGTGTGGGTCAAGTCTCTGATTAGGAAAGCGAAGCAAGAACAGGCCCTGGTGAGATCCCAGAACCAACCTCCGCACCCTTCCCAAAGCCCCTACTGCCCCCAATCTAGCTGGGCCGCCCCCATTCTGGACCTCAAGCTGGTTCCTCTGGGTGCCCACCACCCTCCGTGGCAGTATTTCTTGCTCCCTGACAAGGTTCTCCATTTCTCCATAGATCTGAGGGCCACCCTGGCAGCCCCAAGCACCCACACCTTCCTGAACATAGCCAATGGCAGTAGCCCCACCTTAGAGCTTAAACGTCTACCAGGCCTGTGCCAGGGCATCTACACGCCTTGGCTTCAGGGACCTGTGGGCAGCAAGATTCAGATCAGAAAATCTAGAGCTGTCGAGGCCAGAGAAATCTTAATTTTAGGTCCACTGACCCTCCCTCCCCCCCCCCCCCCCCCACCCACCAAACACAACAACCCCACTCTGAGACAG